ATCTTGCAACCCAGAACTTTGTTGGAGTTGTTTAAGGAACTTAGGAAGCGTTTGTTGACAGAAAAGTGCATAAAGCCACTGAATATTATTATGCAGTAGCATGAAAAATTAATGCCGCGCAGCATCCTCATGTTCCGGATATATGTAGGGTGATGTCTCTGTGTTACATCTCTTAGTTGTAAACATAGACAGTGCGAGGTGTGGTTAGAGGTGGGAGTCATCAGTAAAACGTCTTAACCACCACGTGAAAAAGAAAATATCATGATATTCAAAATGAGGCAGGATTAAGAAAGAAGAAAAAAATGAATGAAGAAAAGAGATAAAAAAAGTTAACGTGCAGGATATAGTTTTCGGTTTTACAGCGTTTCGGAGCAGGTTCACATTATGGTGTCATTCTGAAATAGTTTATCAAAGGTAGATGAAGAGAATCGCTATAGCATGGAATTCGAAATATCGAGTAACATCGCAAAGATAAAATTAACGCCGTAATCATCACAAGTATTTATTGAGCACAACCTTGTACCTACAAGTGAATTTGTGAGCAATTTCTTTCAAACTATTAATATCATAGCCCCTTTGGAAATAAGCAGTAATCGACCGGTCCACCAAACAAGTCGATCTAAGGAGGAGCAAATGCGGAAGTATCGTAAAATTTGGGATTTAATGATTCCTTCATGAAGAAATCGATCAACGTCTCTGTCAGGATCATTATAATGGTTTACAAAAAAAAAAGGGAAGTCAAGCGTTATTATAAACATTGAAGATACACCCATGTGTAATGGCGAGAGATGTCCAAATCGAGAAAACGAGCCCGCTTACCACAGAGGGTGGTCATAAGTTAAATGTGCCATCATACGTGTCATGTCCGATAGCAGGAAAGCTGGAGTTATTAATTACTGGAATGTCATCAGTGTAACGAAAAAGTCCTAACCTGTGATACTTTTGTGTTTCTTTGAGTAACGATACTCCATGAAAGGAAGAGTTAGGTCAGCAATATCAGGACAGTCATTTCCACCCATAGGCACAACTCCTTTTTTGACGAAAATGGATTCCTCGAATAAAGAAGACAAATGAAAAGAAAAATAGATGTACATTAGCGTATCGAAAATTGTATAAGCAGGAAAATACCGTAATCCGTTCAGTAGGTGTACTCTGTAAAAATCCTGTCGCCCTCAGTTAACAACAACAAATACTAATTGTGCGCATTTTTGGCTTTGTAAGCTGAACTCAGCTAGAGAGAGTCGAGCTCCAGATAGATCCAGTAGCCGTTTTTTGGCAAAAATAATTGGTTTTAATTTCAACAACGCCAGTAAGGCGTCGATGATATTGTTGGGGCTGCTTCTTTCTCTACAAAAAGATTCTGAGGCTACGGATGGTCTTCACCGTTTTTTCATTTGCAG